GTGATTTATTTTCTTGCCCCAGTCACAAACTTGCACCTTTGCCCAAGTCCCGGTTTCCTCCTCATTCACAGCAGTACTTTTTCCTCTTTGTCCTGTCCAAACCCATGACATGTTTGTTCTGTTTCCCAGGTTCCTTTGTTCAGGAGCAGTTTTCCCTCTCTCTGACCCCCCTTGGCTCTCAGCTGCGTTTCTCCATGGTGCCACCCTGCAGCAGTCACCACGAGGACGAGGGAGAGAGGCACTGGAGAGGCTGGGGACTGGCACAGAGCAGGCAAGGCTGGGTGCATTTTATGTGTCTGCTCTTCCCTACACCTGAAAACCAGGAATAGGAGGTCTTGAACTGAGAGAAGTTGTCCTGAGATAGTGCTGCCTCCCTGGGAATCCCTGTTGGGAAATGTTGCTGGTGGATAGCTGATAGAAGGTGGCTGTAAATTGCCAGTTGCTAAATCCTTATCCTGAAGGCAAAGTCTTTTCAAGCTTTAACTTTTACTCAGACTCTGGCTCCTGTGAAGTCTGGGAGGGCTGTTCAACAGCTGCTTTATAAACTGAAGCTGGAGAGAGCCTGCAGAGACAGAGAGCTGCATCTGTGGTGTGCCAGGATTCCCTCTCCCTCCAACAACAGTCCTTGTGGATTTTAGCTTGGACAACCTGGCTGGAAAGTTAAGGAAACGCAGGAAGGTTGTGAGACAGCAGTGCAGGCATTTTAAGGGCTCTGGGAAGTTGTGCTGGGATTCCCAGAGACAGATTTCCTGAGAGTTTTCTCAAGTCTGGTCCAGGAAATGGCTCTGTCACCTCAGTGCAAGGGGAATTCTCTGGAGGGCTCTGCTGAGGAGGAAGCTGGGCTGCTGCCCAGCAGTTCTGGCTGTTGATTTTCCAGGGAAGAGCCAGGGTCAGAGCTCAGCATGGGGAGTGTCCCTGTGCCAGAGGCTCGCAGGTGACAGTGCTGAAGTGGAACCTGGGCCTGGTGTTTACTCTGGAGGTTTTATTGCAGCTCCTCTTCCTGTGGGATTGACTCCTCTATTGTTTGTATTGGTCTGGAGCCAGGAGCTGCCAGTCAGAACCTGGTGTCACTGAGTACACTTGGCACAACTGCAGCTTTCACCTCTAAATTCCTGGAAAGTGCCAGGGGGAATGGGAACCGTGGGAAGGCTGGGGGTAACTGGGGTCCCAGCAGGTGAAACTTTCTGTGGTTCATCCAGGTCCAGTCTGGGAATGTAGCTGGTGAAATGTTTATGTTCCCTGACAAGTTCCAAGTCACCACTACAGGCACAACTAACAGGCAGCCTCTTTTCCTTGCAGCTCCTTGTTGCTCTGCTGTTCTTCTCCCTACTGGATCTCATCTCAGCCAAAATAGCACCAAAGGTGAGTTCAGCCCCGAGGGAATTCTCATGACACTGAATGTGTCTGATCAGCTTGGTTTGCTGCCCAAAAATGCTTTGTAGCAGCACTGGGAAGGCTGGGAGCTTGTTCTGTCAGGAGGAAGGGATCAGCAACACCCCAGACAAGCCTGCTGAAAGCCCTTCTGTTCCCATCAGATTAAACCTGTGTTTTCTTCTCACTGACATTATCTCCCCTTTCACTACTTTTATTTTTCCTCCTGGATGATTTACTATTTTCAGTTTCCTGTTCAGACTTTACACCTCCCAGGTAGTGCAGGAGCCTCGTATCACACTCAGATTTTGTGCAGCATCTCACATCTGTCAGATGATGTTTTTCCTCAGGCTGGAATGTGGTACTCCACAGGAGAAGGGCTGCCCAGGAAGAAGGAACATTAGTTTCCAAATGGTTTAATGCTATTTAGTGAAGGAGCAGAGATGACAGGCTGCTTCCAGCAGCTGCCTGCCCTGAGCATCCTGCTGCCTGTGAAGGCTTGTTTCTGTCCCTTTGCTGTCACCTCAGCTTTGAAGTGCAGCCATCTGGGGAGTCACCTCACAGATGGGATCAGGGAGCAGATTCAAGGCAGAAATAACCATTTGGTCTCAGTCTGCCCGTGGGAGAGTCTGGGGGAAGAGCCAGGGAGGAGAAAAACATCTTGAGACAGAGCTGGGAGCTTAATCCGTGTGACATGAGTAATGAAAAAAGAAACCCCACAATAATTCCAAGACATGTTGTCCCTAGAAAGGTTAGAGGGGACAGAAGCTGCTCCATTGGGGTGGGTGCAGGATGTGCAGTGATCTGTTGGTTAATCCAGGCTGGATTTGGCTTGGAACAACCTGGACTAGTGGAAGGTGTCCTGCCCATGACAGAGGGGTGTAATTGGGTGATCTTTAAGGTCCCTTCCAACCCAAACCATTCCACAATGCAGCTTTCCCCTCTCTCAGTGCTGGCCCGGTTTGGTGAGGAAGACACTGCCTTGTTCTGGTGCCTGATTCCCCTGGGGGAATCCAGGCTGCCTGGTGAGGGGAAGGACTTGGGGTGAATTCCTAAGGTCCTTTAGCAGAGCAGTTCATGTGCAGTCTCCTGTGGGGGCTCCTTTCTGCTTTCATGCAACCACAACCCAAGAGAAACGAGACCTCTCCTTTCTGACACCCAGGAAGGAGTGGATTTTCAGACATCTCTGGAATGGTCCCTGGAGATCCTGCGGTGCCTGGAAGAGAGAGGCACATCCTGGCCACTTCTCTTCCATTCGGCAGAGAAAGGTGAGTCCTGGCCCCAAGGGGTGGAAGGACGGGTGACCCATCCCTTGGCTTGGAGTGTCCCTGTGAGAAGGGGCTGCTGGGCCTTTGGAAGCAGCACAAAAACCCCTTGTGTGAAAGCTGAGAACATCCTGCTTCTATCCCAGAGCATGGCAGAACCAGCTGATGATCAGGAATGACTGAGCTCAGTGTTGTTCCTGCTGGCAGAGAAAGCCTGAGGGGACAACTTGCTTCTCTTGCTGGCGACCCCCCCAAGCACCCGTATTTATTGTGGCCTGGAAGGGAACTACAGCCCCTGTGCTGCTCCAGGAGTATGAAAGGTGATGTGAGGCCTCTGCAGGTGCTCAGTTCTTCTCCCTGTCCTTGCAGACCCTGGGAAGTGCCGTGTCCTGCACAGCGCGGCCTCGGAGCGGCACACCCGGCTCCTGCCCCTGGCATTCTACAGGTACTGCCCTGCTGGGCCGGGCAGGGACTGAGGGGGATGTGGGTCATGGTTGGCATCCCCAACACCTGGCATGGAGGTAACAGCACTGCTGGCCTGTAGGAGAGCACAGTTACCTGAGCTGTGCAGGGCAGAACACCTCATCAGGCACGATGTTGTTTGAGGAACCCTGTGGCTTTTGCTAAAGAATTTTGCCAGAACTTTCCCTTCAGCCTTGTGCTCCAAGCACAAGGTTTAGGAGCTGACTTTGCTTCCTGGGGTGGCCCTGCACGCAGTGGGACTCAAATCAGAGCAGCAGATGTGTTTGCCTTGTGCCTGTGTGTGTCCCATGGACCCAGAGCTAACAGAGCCCATGTGTGACCCCCTCCAGCCTCACCCCCTGCTTCCACCGGGAGCTGCTCCAGCGGGATCCCACCTTCCTCAGCGTGGCACTCCAGATGTACATCCAGCTGCTCCAGCTCTTTGTGGAAGGGGAAGTCCTGCCACAGTCTGATCAAGATTCCACAGAGCAGGTAAGCAAAGCCTGGACTCCTTTTTCCTCCTATCATAGATTTCCAGAATGGTTTGGGTTGGAAATCACTTCAAACCTCATCCTGTTCCACCTCTTGCCATGGTCAGGGACACCTCCCATTATCCCAGGTTGCTCCAATCCCTGTCCAACCTGGACACTTCCAGGGATAGGGCAGCCACAGCTTTTCTGGGCACCCTGTGCCAGGGCCTCACCACCCTCACAGAGAAAAATTTCTTCCTAATATCAAGTCTAAATCTACCCCTCTCCAGCTTAAAACCTCTTGTAACTGATCCTATTCTTTACCTCTTCCCCTGCAGCATCCTTCTTGTTCCCACCTTCCCGTGCAGAGCAGAGGGAGCTTGTGCAGATTCCTCATCCCCTGGGGCCAGAGCTGCTCCCAAATCCCCCAAACCCCCCTGCCCTCTAAGCAGTTACAGCCTGGCCTGTGGGGTTTTGGCTCCTGCTTCTCCTTCTGAAGCAGGGACTGGGCTGAGGGTGACATTTTGCTTCCATGTGTCTCTCCCGTGTCGTGCAGGATCCCTTGGAGTTGATCTCTGCAGCCCGGCAGTTCCTGCTGGGAGCCATCCCACACTGCCCTGCCCAGAGCTTTGGGAACATACAGCTGGTACGTGCAGGTGTTCTCCCTTCTCTCCCAGTGCGGGCTGGGAGCGCTGCTGTGGCTCCTTCAGGCACTGATCCTGTACCTGTGCCATGCCCCGTGCTTCCCTGACCCCCCTGGGCCTGCTCTGTGCTTCCATAACTCACCTGTGCCATGCCCCGTGCTTCCATAACTCACCTGTGCCATGCCCCGTGCTTCCATAACTCACCTGGACGCAGGGGGACACCTGGTGCTCAGCCGGTGCCATGGCCACGTCCTCCACCGCTCCCAGCACATCACACCCTGCCCTCGTGTGGCCGTTCCCGCCCGCTCTGAGGGAATTCTGAGGCACAGCCACGAGCATGAGTGGAAGTTTCCCCCTCCTCTGCCTGTGCTTGGCTGACAAGGCAGCAAAATGCTCCGGTGTTGCTGGAAAGGGCTTTGAGGAAACACGAGCAGATCTAAAGTGGCTCCCTGCCCTCTCCCCAGCTCCTGAGCACTTGTGAAGAGCTCGATCCAGAGCTGGGAGCCGCCCTTCTGCACTTCTCACGGCCTGCTGTGGACATGGAGCTGGAGGAAGAGCTGGAACTGTTCTGAGGAATGGGCTCAGCCCCACACCTCCATTACACCTAACACAAGGAGCTACCTTTCTCACCTGCGTCATTTTTTTTTTCAAATTACTTTGTAAATAATTTATTACAAGCATAACCATGAAGCTCTTGTTACAATAAAAAGTAGGTTACAAATTTTCGGTTTAGACTTGCTTTGGGACTCATAATTATGTTGTTGGGGTTTTTTTTCAATTTTTTTTTTCTTCTTTTCCAAAACAAAACGTCTCCTTAAAGTTGTCCCACTGTCCTCTGTCCCCCTCGAGCCCCCAGGGGCACCTCTGTGCAGGCAGGGAACAGTTGTGGCCAACTTGGTTTCTACAACGTGTGCGTGGGGCTGGGGACACGAAGGGGTCCCCTCCCCTGGGATTAGACACTCTTAGTACAACACTGCTGAATCAGACGTGAGCATGGAAATCACTGCATGAGAACAAGCCTTTTCTGAGCAAGCTGAAGCTAAATCCACAGAGTTCTTTGGGAGACTAAAACGTAGATTAAAAATCTCCACTGCCAAACGGCTTCTATGGGGCTGGGCTGGGAACTCATGGCCGTGCCCTCAGGTGGGCTCGGGCTCTGCAGTCACTTCTGGCTTCACTGCCTGGCCTTCTGCAGTCCCTGAAGTAGTGAGGAGGAGGATGGGCTCTGGCTCCAGCGGCTTGGCTTTGTCCTGAGTCTGGGTCAGAGGGTGCACCATGGACATGTGGACGTTGAGGTTGTGAGCCTTCTCGAAGCGCTTCCCGCACTGGTCACAGGCGAACTCCAGCTCGGCCTCGGCTTTGTGTTTGGTCATGTGGTACTTGAGGGACGCACGCTGGCGGCACTGGAAGCCACAGATCTCACACCTGCCAAGGGCAAAGGGGGCTCAGCACCAGCCTGGTGCTGCCTGGCTCAGCCAGGGACAGTGCTGGGGCTGGAGCAGGTGTTGGGAATGGACATTTCATTGAATCACAGAACCCTGCAGTGGTTTGGGATGGAAGGGATCTTAAAGCACATCCCATCCCACCCCCTGCCAAGGGCAGGGACACCTTCCACTATCCCAGGTTGCTCCAAGCCCCATCCAACTTGGCTTTGAACACTTTGAGGGATGGGGAGTCTACAAGCCGTGCCAGGGCCTCACCACCCTCACAGGAAAGAGGATCTTTCCAATATCCCATTTAACCCTGCCCGTTGGAAGTGGGAAGCCGTTCTCCCTTGTCCTGTTACTCCAGGACCTTGTTCCAAGTCCCTCTCCAGCTCTCCTGGAGCCCCTTTAGGCCCTGCAAGGGGCTCAAAGGCCTCTCTGTAGCCTTCAGGCTGAACACACCCAGCACTCTGAGCCTTTCCTCATAGCAGAGGTGACCTGACACTCTGTGACCCTCTCCTCACTGATTCAGTTTAAAGTGATCCAGCCAGGACGCTGCCAGCTGCAGGCAGGGTTTGTATCCCACAGCTGCTGTGCCAGGGTTAGTGACTGATGCCTCTGATCCCTGTTGGAATCACTTACTGCAGGGGCTTTGCTCCTGAGTGCCGCATCTGATGGACCGAGAGGTGTTTGCGTTGCTTGAAGGTCTGCCCACACTCATCACAGATATAATTCCGTACCTCTGCCACGGGAAACAGGAGAGTCACAGATTCTGCCCAGTTCCTGGAATGTGCCCCACACACACAGCTGCCCACACTCCCTGCAGGAGTCTGAACCCCTCCCCTGCCTCATGTCCCCTGCACAACAGCTTGTTCCATGTTCACAGGGACACAGGGAGTCCTATCCCCATGCCCCCAGAGCCTCAGCACCTCCAAACAGGGTGCCAGGGGCCACTGGGTGTGTGACTGCCAGCTGCTGGGACACACCTGTGTGGATGAGCTTGACGTGCCGCTGTAGGTACCTGTCGATCATGAACACTTTGTTGCAGCCAGGATGAGGGCAGGGCCTCTCCCGCACCTCCTCGTGGTGCTCTTTGATGTGTTTCTGCAAAGCAAGGACAGAGCTGCTGACAGGGAACAACCTGGATCCCCAAACATCGAGACCACCCTGTGCAAAACCAGGATTTGCATCCCAAGCTACCCCTGGCTGCAGGGGCTTTTGCTGGACACAGTAGAGCCTGTTCCAAAGGCTGCTGTGAGCCAGAGGCAGGCTTCCAGGACAGGAGAAACAGGGAGAGCCAGAACACATTGGAGAGGCCAGGACTTCCAGCAGGCTGCTTTTAGTGGCTCACTGCCTCCTCCAGTGCAGAATGGGGAATTGAACCCATCAGGGATCCTCTGCTCACATGGAAGTGGCTCCAGAGTATTGGGAGCCACCAGCGTGGGACAGGAGCAGAGCCCGAGCTCACCTTCATGCCATCAGCCCCTCTGTAGACAGCAGTGCAGCCCTGGTAAGGACACTTGTAGATGGTGGGCAGCTCCTCCCTGCAAGCAGAGATGTGTGAGGTGTTGTGGGTGTGGGGCTGCAGCCCAGCCCAGCCTTGACAGACCCTCCTTACCGTTCACATTTGATCTTTTTTTTCCAGCCTGGCTTAGGCCCCGGCTTCTTCCTTATTTTGGGCTCTTCTGCCTTCTTTGCTTCTTTGCTGTCGCTTTTCTTGCCAGAAACCCTCCAAAAAAGAACAACGACAGTGGTTTAAGACTTGATCTTGGTTTTAGACCCCACAAAGCGTCCCCATCTGTTACACCTGACTGCAGAGCAGGAGCACACACAGCCCCAGGTACAGGGGCCAGGCTGTGGCTGTGCCAGGCTGGGGATGAGGGCCCAGACAGTTTAACCCAGTGGGGAGCTTGGGGGCATCTCTGTGGGGAACAGAGCCATAAGGAAAGACATGGTGGCCCCATTGTGGTGAGCACCAGCCGCCCCACCCACCCTGAGAGCCCCTTACTTCTTCTCGGGGTAAGGCTCGAAGGAGTCATCTGAAGATTGCACGTTTCTCTTCTCGCTTTCATCGTCACTCAAGAAGTCCCTGAGAGAGAGAAGTTGCCCTTTACCGACGTGACTTTGGGCTGACCCTCGGCACCAGCAGTTCCCCATTCCCAGCACATCCATCTCCCCCACAGCACAGCACAGCTCCACGTGTTCTCCTCCCCACAAACACAGCGACGGTGAACGCAGCAAAGACCCAAATCAGGTCCTTTTAGGGCTAAATCTCTGCAAGAATAATCAAACCACTGTCAGGAGAACAAAAACAGGGCTGTTACTGAAAGGATCTATTCATGGGTGAGGGATGTGGCTGCCACTTCCTCTACTGGGAAAAGGAATTTTGTGGAGCAAGAATACCACATAATTGTCTGGTGCAGGTTAATGAAGCTGCTGGCCATTCTGTATCCCCTCAAATGTAACAGCCACATTTGGATTTTTCTTTTTCCTCCTTTTAGGCCTTAAGCCACATAAGAAGCAATTAATTCCTGAAGACAGGAAATAGGCAATAAATTGCTGCGGCCCTTTTCATGTGACAGCTGACAGGCTCAGTTGACACGAGTCACTCTGCACTTGGCCCTTTAGACTCGGAACGCCTGCATTCCTGTATTTACAGCCCCATTCCAAACACTGTGCTGGACTGAGCCAAATCCTTGCTCAGAACAGACTGTGGAGCTGCCAGGTCCCTCCTGCTCCCCTTTCGCAGGTAATGGCTCTCCCTGGGAGCAGAAGGGGTGGTTTCTCCACGTGCCACCCCGTGCCTGCATCCCCACTCCCACGGCTCTCCCCCAGCCCCAGCCATGGAGGGAACTGCCCAGGGATTGAGGGGCTGGAGCAGCAGCTCCCAGCATGACTCGTTCCCCAGCACAGAGAGGGGACAAAACAGGGCCAGGATTGCTGGAAGCAGCCCACAAACACGGAGCACAGGTGTGTGCAAACCCCCCAGAGCAGAGGAGGGAGCTCAGAGCCTCAGTGCCATGAGCTACGTGAGGGCTGCAGCAGAGGCGCCGCTCCGAGCCCCCGGCGCTGGTGGAGAAAGAGCTCTGCAGGCTGGGGAGTTCCCACTGGCAAAGAAGACATTTAGGCTATTTTAAACCCACTCTTCTCTCACCCCTCAGAAAGGTCACTGAACTCGTCTTTTACCCGCTCATCCGACGTTGCAGACAGAACCTGCTTCCCACTCAACTGTCCTAGGGAATGAAGGAGAACACGGTGCGTTACAAGGAAAAGCAGCAGACCCACGGCTCCAGGGGAACACGTGCTCCATGGCAGTCAGTGATTGTTTAAACCAAACTGTGCCATCTGCCCAGAAACGGCTCTCCCTGTGCTCCACCCTGACCCTGCAGCTCCCAGGAGCAGCTTTTGGTTCCTCCTGTGACAGCTGTAACTGAAAGACTTGTCCCCAGGCAAGTCCCAGCCACCATTCTTGTGTCCAGCAGCAGACATCTCCTGTGCGTGCTGGAGCTAAACACAGCCCCACTTCTGGAACTCAAAATGGGTGTTAATTCCTCACTTCTGGAAATGGGGCATGGGGCAGTGCACCCAGCCCAAATCCACCCAGCAGTCTTCCTTTAGGGACAAAAGGGCCTCCTGGGATTCAGCATCAGCTGCTGAGCAGCAGGGAAGCCCAGCTTTAGGGTTGTGCCAAAAGAAACATCTGCCAAACATGGTACTGAGGAACCAGTGACCATTCCATATCCCCAGGAAGAGCCTGGCAGCAGGGTCTACCCTCTTTTAGAAGGGGAACAACACACAGGGCCAGGAGTATGACCTTGTGTTCCCCTGACCCTTCTGCACAGCTCAGTCTCCTCATCCCAGATCAGAGGCCAATCTCTGAGAACTTCCCAGAAGGATCTGCACCCTCCTTGTCAGTCTCCAAGGAGAGGGCCCAGCCCCTTGTTGCTTCCTGGGCCACCTCTCCAGCTCCCTGTCCATCCCCTGAGGCTGGGAGGGAGATCAGGAAGCAAATCCCTTACCTGTGGCAGTGCTCAGTGGGGAGACAGGCTGTGGCAGGGCCTGCTCCCGGACAGAGGCCGTGCTGTCCAGCTGCGAGGGAGAGGGATCCCTGTCCTGTGGTGGCTCATTCTCCACATTCAGTGGCACCACCGTGGTCCCTTTGTTGGCAGGCTGCTGGCAAGGAGCTGTCCTTACTGGAGCAGGCTGGGCTTTGGGAGCAGGAACAGCCTCGGTATCGTCTGCCCCGGCCCCGTTGTCAGTCAAGCGCTGCTGTGCCGCGCCCTTGCTCCACTCCCGTTTGACGGACAGGGCGTTGTCCAGCAGCAGGGAGCTGCAGTCCGAGTCCGTGTCCATGACGTAGTCGTGGCCGTCGCCGCAGCCCCAGACGGCGCGGATGATGCCGCAGTACTCGGAGGAGAGCACGCTGCGCAGCCCGGGCACCGAGGCGCAGCTCCCGGCATGGGCGTGCGTCCACGTCACCAGGCTGTGCAGGCACTGCGGGCTCGACGTGATCAGGTCAACTGGCCAGGGGAGAGGCAGCACAGTCAGGCCTGGGCACGGAAGGGACATGGAGGGGACACGGAGGGGATAGGGATGTGGATCTGCTCCCCCCAGGGCTGTCTCTGAGGGCATCCCAAAAGGGCTGGAGTGGAGCAGTGCCAGCGCCTGCCAGGATCCACTGAGGTTGGAAACAGCCTCTGAGATCACTGTGTGTGACCCATGACCAAACACCACCTAATAGCCAGACCAGAGCACTGAGTGTCATGTCCGGTCTTTCCTTAAACACCTCCAGGGAGAGTGGCTCCACCACCTCCCTCCATCATTCACAGCTGAAAGGGTATTTCCAGTTGTCCCCAGTGTCCAACAGCACTGGCACCTAAATCTGCTCTGCCTGCTCTTCTCTTCCCACCCCCAGGTGAGCCTCTGCCTGTTTGGCCCAGCTCAGGAAGGTCAAGATTCTCCTGGGAAGTCAGAGGGAGGAAGGAGAACCATAACCAGCTGTGTTGAAGACCACCAGAACCCCTCTGGATTTGGTAATTTCTCATCACCCATGAACCCCAGCTGGTGGTGTGGCAGAAGGAAAAGGGGATTGGGCACTCACCCAGGCAGGAGGCACCTCCTTCCATACCCGGCTGCGCCTGGACCCCGCTGCTCCTGCAAAAACCAGAGCGGCACAGTGGGATTTGGGGGTCACAGAAGGACCGTATGGCAACACACAGCAACCCGGCACGGCGCTGCCGCCGGGAGGCAAGAAAGGCCACGTACTTTCCTTTGGACTTGGCGTGGCCCGTGGGCGAGGCATTCACCCTCTGGATGAAGGTGCGGAGGACGCTGCGGCACTTGTAGAACTGGGCATGGCATTTCTTGCAGACGAACTGTGGCAGCGCGGGGTCCTGCCGCACCGCCACGCCCACCAGGCGCTGGAAGTCGGCGAAGAACACCTGGTCCACCCGCCGCTGCTTCTCCGAGTTTTCCCCCAGCACGGGCACCTTCCCGAAGGCATTGCGCAGGCTTCGCGAGGAGAACTTGCCGTGGCACAGGCGGCAGTAGCCGGTGCTCAGCGCTCTGCTGATTCCTGCCGAGGAGGAACGAACGCAGCTGCCGAGGGACGGCACTGATGCACCCAAAGGTGTTCCCCTCCCCTTCATCCCAGCTACCTCCTTAGCCCAGCCTTCAGCTAAAAGAAAATCCAGGCAGGAAAACACCCTTCTGACGCTAGCTGACCTAAAATCATCCCTTCTGGCCCCACTGTCCCAGTGGCAGAGCCTCCTCTGCACAGAGTTCCCAGGACTCTGCTAAAGCCATCCCTTGGTTTTAGCACCTTTTATCTCTCAAGTATTTACACCTGGCATTGTGACCCTTGGCTGCCCCAGTGCAGGCTCACCCATTCCTCAGCTCCCCAGTAGTGCCCTGGAGCGGGGCAGCTCCTGACCCGGAATAGCGGGGCAGGATGCAAAGTGTCACCCAGCTCACTGACCCGCAGCATTCCCACTCTGTGGAATAATCTCCATCCCTCCCTACAGTGGGAAGGGAACCCTGAGCACAGCACAGCCCCAACCCGGCCGTGCTCCGAACCCTGTGGCGGGAGCGGGCTCCCCTGCCGGGACCACCTGGGTGGCTTTGGGAGCGATGGGGGTCTCCCCACAACCCGCGGGGGTGGTGACAGTGGTGGGACAGGGCAGCACCTCCTCGGGGAGTGTTTTGGGGGGCTGAACGCCCCGTTTGTGAGTGCCCCGTGTGCCACCCGCTGTCCTCGGGCAGCGCCGCTGTCACAGCACCCAGCGGAGCCGTTGGAGATCCCGCTTATCTCCCGCCCCAGCTGCAACACACCCGAATATCAGCCCAAAACCGGGATGGCGGGAGGGTCCCGGTCACCCCCAAACCCCAAACTAGACGGCGGGAGTGTCCCGACCACACTCACACCGTGATGGAGGGAGGGTCCCGGTCACCCCCAAACCGGAGCAGGTAGCGGCCGAGCAACCCGAGACAGCGGGAGGTTCCCCCGCTCTCCCTTCCCCATGTGCCCAATTACCGGCACCGGCATGTCCGGTGTTTCAGGAGGTAAGAAACTCCACACAAACAGGCAAATTCTGCCGTGCCGCCCTCTCGGCACCGACCCCCGGGACGGGGGTTCTGACCCCGGCAGCACGGAGGGAGCCCCGCCATACCGAGGGCTCGCCCGTACCAGGTGCTCGCAGCCCGTCCCGGTGGCGCCCGGTCCCGCCGGTGTCCCCGCAGCTGCTCCAGCCCCGAGGCAGCGACTCCGGCCGTGCCCCCGCTCCCCCCGCCCCGGTCCCCGCGCTCGGGCCTCACCTGCCTCCGGTGCGCAGGCGGCGGCCGCGGGGGGCTCGGCGGGCTCGGTGCCGCGGGCGGCCGTGCCGGGGGTCCGGCGGGGCGCGGGGGGGGCCCGGGGGCCGCCCGGGGCCGCCAGGAACCGCCCGCGCCGATCGCGCTTCATCGTCCCCGCCGGGCCCGGCGGCTCCGCCCGCCCGCAGCGCCCCCGCCGGCCGGGGGGACCCGCCGCGCCCGGTCCGTCCCACCGCGCTCCGGCCGGGCCCGCGGCCCCCAGAGCGCCGTTCCGGGCGGCCCCGCGGCCATGGCCGCGCCGGGGGGCGGCGAGGGGCCCGCGCCGGGCCGGGGGGGCCGCGGGCTGCAGGGAGCCATGAGGGCGGCCAGCGGTGCCCTGGGCATGGACAGCGTCGGGAGGACAAGGGTGAGCGCGGGGATGGCCGGGGAGGGACCCCTGGGTTCAGCTGCAGACCCGGGATTGCACCCCCGGGGCTCTCCCTACATCTCTGGGCTCAATCCCCATCCTCGAGGCTGCATCACCCGCTTCATCCTTTATCTCTGGGCTCTCCCCGCATCCCTGGCCTCCTCCCGTATCCCTGGGCTCCTCCCGCATCCCCGATTTCGTTCCCCGGCCTCCCCCCCCAGCATCCCCGGTCTCATCCTGCATCCCGGGGCTCATCCGCATCCCGGAGCTGCATCCCCGGTCTGACCCAGCACCTCTGGGCTACCCTCACATCCCTGAGCTCTTCCCGTCTCCCGTTCGGACCCAGAGCTGCGTTCCCCCGAGGCCGCGGGGGTTCCCGAGCTCCGGGGTCCCTGCTCAGCCCCCACTTTGGCAGGATGCCTACGTGGAGTACCTGAAGAGCATCACCCTCATCGCCCAGGCCCTGCAGGAGGAGGCGGCAGGCACAGGTAAGGCAGGACCGATCCCTTGTCCCCCCCCCGCGGAACCAAGGCGGGCGGTAGAAGTCCTGCAGTGACCTCAACACACCCTCCCCACAGAGAACAGCGAGGGGGTCACCCCTGACACCCCCAAACTGCTGAAGCTGGCGGAGCAGTGCCTGGAGAGGGTCAAATCCATCGCAGCCGCGCTGGGTGAGCGAGGGGTGGGGGTCTCATTCTAGGGAGCTGGGTGCCCCCACAGGGCCAGGCTGGTGGTGAGGCACAGCCGACCTGTCCTGCCGCCCTCCCCAGGGAAAGCCCAGGTGAAACCGGCTGCACAGGAGCGCGGCGGGGGCCCTGCGCCCCTCCCCAGGCATCGCCGGGTCTGCTCGGACGAGGGGGGGAAGCTTTCACCATTCCTGCCCCCAGAGATCTTCCAGAAGCTGCAGATCGCTGAGGCACAGAGTGCACGGAAGTACGAGGCGCTTGGATGTGGGAGCTGGGACATGGGGCTGAGACAGAGAGTGGTGGAGCATGGGGTCTGATGTGGACTGGGATACAGGGGCTGGCATATAGGAGGCTCGAAGATACCGGGTAGGACATGGAGGGTTCAAACACGAGGGATTTGGGACATGGGGTCTGACAAGAGCTGCAACAGCTATGGTTGGTGGCCCCATATCCGCCTGGGAGGGGTCAAGGAACAGGATGTGGTCCTGGCACGTGTCCTGTGCCCTGTGGTGAGTGCTGAGGCTGTTCCTACAGAGAGCTGACCCCGCTGGAGGAGGCCTCCCTGCAGAACCAGAAGCTGAAGGCAGCGTACGAGGCGCGGGTGGCGCGGCTGAACCCAAACCAGGCCGTGCAGAAAACATCGCTGGCAAGTGGGGAGCTGGGGAGGAGCTGGGAGCCGGATGGAACAGGCAGCCAGGCAGGGAGAGGGTCCCTGGGGTCCCCTGCTCCCAACTGGTGGCCATGGGGTGTGGTGGGTCTTCCCAACTCTCCTATTCTGCAGACGCTGTCCCTGCAGCGGCAGATGATGGAGAACCTGGTGATTGCCAAGGCCCGAGAGGAGACTGTATCCTTCCCAGTGGGATTGCTGCAAGAGCCTCTGCCCTGTCCTGGGTGTCACCAACCCCACACAGGCCTTTGGGGTCCCAGCTGGGGGATGGAGGAGGGTGAAGGGCATTTGGTGAACACAGTGCTGGCTCTGGACCCTTAACAATACCTGGACCAGCTGCAGCGCAAGATGGAAGAGCGGCGGCTGCGGCTGCAGGAGGCGGCCAACCGGTGAGTGGGGATGTGACTGCAGGGACCTCGGGCTGTGGGGACACCCAGCAGTGCCCTCACTGGCCTGGGCTGTCCCCAGGAGGTTCTCCAGCAGCGTGGCACTCACCCCCGAGGAGCAGGAGCAGAGAGCACTCTATGCTGCCATCCTTGAGTACGAGCAGGACCATGTGAGTGTGTGCAAGGGGCTGCTGACAGGGCTGGGGGCTGTGCCATGGGGCAAGAGGCTGTGCCATGGGGCAGGGTGCTGCACCATCCCCATGACCAACTCTGGACACTCCCCAGGACTGGCCAAGGCAATGGAAGGCACAGCTGAAGCGGAGCCCAGCGGATCTCTCAGTGGTGTCAGGGCTCTTCTCTTGCCTCCTGAGGTACTGCTGGGGTGGGCACGGCCCTGCCAGAGCGAGGGGGCTGGGGCTGCTGCCGATGCCCCCTGCCCACGCCATCCCTCTGCCCACAGCTGCCCCGAGCACCCCATCACGCAGCTGCTGCGGCGGCTGCAGTGTGCCGTGTACGCCCGCCTCTACCCCGCCGTCAGCCGCGGTCCCGCCGACGCCTCCCCCGCCTCTCCCTCGGCTCTGTCCTTCCTGTCTCTGGACACGGGGGGCTCCTCGCTGCCCGCCGAGCCGGGGGGCCGCCGGCTCCGAGCGTCCCGCAGCCTGCACTGCATGTTCTCGGTGCCCGAGCACGGCCCGACCGCGCTGCGGCACAGCCAGTCCAGCACCCCCCTTGCTGACAGCAGCACCCCAGGGCCCACAGAGCCCCCCGAGACCCCCCGAGAAAGCTCCTTCGAGGACCTGGAGCGGTTCCTGGCATCCCCCGAGGGCTGGGCCCCCACAGAGCCCTCGGCCAGCTCTGGGCAGGACACAGCGCTGCCGGAGCTGCTGAAGGGCATCGTGAGGGACATCCACAACGCCATTGGTGAGGGACAGCTGAGGGACTGGGGGGGCTCTCCTGCGCCCTGTTGTGACTCGGGGCACAGGGTGGGCAGGATGGGGGTCCCAGCGTGCTGTGTGACTCGCCCTCCCCAGACAGGCTTCTGGCTCTGACTCTGCTGGCCTTCGAGGGTCTTGGCACTGCCGCCGGCAAGGACCAGTGCCTGGCCTGCCTGGAGGAGGCTTTCTTCCCCCCACTCTGGGCCCCGCTCCTGGCCCTCTACAGGTACCATGACCCTCTTTGGATGGTCCAAGACCTGCTGACCCCTTCCTGGCACCCCCCCATCACCTCCTTGCCCACAGGACCGTGCAGCAGCCCCGTGAGGCGGCCCTGGCACGCAGCATGGAGCGGCACCGTCACGCCAGCCCTGCCGACATGGGGCTGGCCTCACGCCTCTTCCCGCCCGGCCCCGGGCGCCCCGCGTACGCCTCGGCCGTGCAGGACCTGCGCCTCATCCCTCTGGAGACCTGTCCCCGCAGGAAGCTGGAGTGCATCGGTGAGTGGCGATGGGGACGTTGGGCGGGGGTCCAGGGGTGGCCATGACCCTGAAACCCCTGACCCTGTGCCGCAGTGCGAGCCCTGCGCGGCATCTGCGAGTGTGCTGAGGAATACTGCGGCACCCGGGACACCCGGAGCCTCGCCACAGCTGCCATGTGAGTACAGGAACAATGTTCCTCGGCCTCACCAAGCAGGATGGGGAGTGTGAGGAGTTTGGGGCCAAGGGCTCATGTGGCCAGTATGCTGTTGTGGCACAATCCCTGTGGCCACCGTGGCTGATGGCCCCTGTTGTCACAGCGGGGCAGACGACCTGCTGCCCATCCTGTCCTACGTGGTGCTGCAGACGGGGCTGCCCCAGCTGCTCTCTGAGTGTGCCGCCCTGGAAGAGTTCATCCATGAAGGGTACGTGCCAGGGTGCTGGGCCATGCGGGCACCCCTGGGCTCAGAACACCGTCACCTCTCTGGGACAGGGCTGTCAGAGCTGGTGGATGTGATGGTGTCCTGGTCGTGGCAGTGTCCCAGCCATGATGGTGCGGTGCTGGTGTGGTGCCCGTGGTGGTGTCCCGTTGGTGACAGTGTGATGGGTGTGACAGGTACCTGATCGGGGAGGAGGGGTACTGCCTGACGTCCCTGCAGAGCGCCCTGTCCTACGTGGAGTCCCTGCAGTGAGGAGGGGGCGGCGCGGGACCCCCACACCCCGGGCAGGTGCTGACGGTGCCCCGCAGGTCCTCCCGCCCGGCAGGGGGCGCTATGGCGCGGGCCCAGCCCCGCCCCGGGGGCGGAGCTACGGGTGGCACGTGCGTTCCGGCCCGGTGCGCGCGGAAGGGGAGCGGGAAGGGAGCGCGAGCGGCCGGGACCGGCAGGTGCGGGGGGAGAAACCGGAACCGGAGAGGAACCAGGGTCGGGTGGGAACACCGGGAGGCCTCGTGGGGGGGAGAAACTGGGGCCAGGGAGTGACACCGGGGGGACTGAGAGCAGGGAGGGGCCGGGGAGGCCTCGTGGGACCCGAGATCGGAAGCTGAGGATTTGGCGGGGGGAATTTCACAGGTTTGGGATCGGGGTCCCGGGGCAGGGTCTCACGCTGCTGTACCTGTAGGATGTGTGCAGGCTCGGCGCTGCGGCAGGAGCACCGGCAGGACTACGGGCAGGAATTCCGGCAGGAATTGCACCAGGAGTACCGGCGCTCACTGGAGCGGGAGTTCGGCCCCGCCGGAACCTGCCCCGGCCCCGCGGTGACGGAGCGGCTGCGGCAGCGGCTGCAGCAGGAGCCGGCGCTGCTGAGGACCCTGCACGAGGATGCCCTTACACTGCTGGCCCGGGGGCTGCGGGACCACCCCGACCCCGGGCGGGCACTGCAAGGCCTGGCCGGCGCCTTCCGGCTGCTGGAGCTGGCGGCTGTCAACCTCTACCTCTTCCCGTGGCGCCGGGAGTTCGGCACCATCCCGGTGAGGCCCTGAGGTGGTAAGAGGATGTTTTGGGGGTGCCCAGACACCTCCAGCCACACTCCCTGCTTTCCTTGCAGACTTTCTCTGGCGCCTACGTTCACCTGCTGCGCCCAGCGCTCCCCGAAGCTGACCTGGTGCGGAGTTTGGGCCGACTGGGCTATGAGAGACAGGACCAGCACCGCCTGGCTGTGGCCCGGCTGCCCCCGGGGTCCGCGCTGATCGCCGCTGCTGTCGGTTTCCTCGCCTGCCGCCTGGAGTGTGAGATCCTGGCAGAGCTGGCGCCGCGGCTGCAATGGCCCCGCGCCGAGGAGCTGCTGGAGGTGCGGCATCGGGCCGGGAGTGGCAAGGGGTGCCTGGAGATGCTGCAGGACCTGGGGACGCAGCACAGGGTGGCTGCTGACTGCGGTGATGGTGTGGATCTCTACCAAGAGACACCAGACAGCCTTGAGGACACAGGGGGCAGGGACACAGCCCCCCCAGCGCTGTGGAGGGACCCTCAGGATGTGCCCACAAGGGGTTGGGGACGCTGCGATGACACACTTGGGCCAGAGCCTGTGGGCAGCGTCGATCCAGACACCTCCTCTCACCTCTTCCCAGAGCAGGGGACCGGCAGAAATCTGCAGGTGCTGGGGGAACCCCAGGATTCCCTCCAGGACACGCCAGAGCTGCCCTGCTACCAGCTGCACTCGTGCCTGCGCCGGGGCATGCTGCCCTCGTACTGCTGCAGCACCTGCCGGCAGCTGCACGGCCGTGGCTGTGCCGTGGGACACGCCTGCCGCAGCCGGCACCGCGGCCAGGAGCTGCGCGGGGAGCGGCAGCAGCGGCTCTGGCTGCAGCGCACAGAGCTGGACATGCTGCTGGCCGAGGGCTCTGCACCCCGCTCCTGACACGGCTGCTGCTGCCTGCTGGAAGGGATAGGCACCGCTTGGCACAAGGACCCGGACTCGTCAGCCCCTGAGACAGCGGTGCCCAGGCCCTGCTGTAATTAATCCCTGTAAATTATTCAGTGCATCAGTAAAGTGGCTGCTTTGGCATGGGGTGTTCTGTTCTGGTGAGGGGGATCAAGATGCCTGGTCCAGGAGGGGCAGGGTCTGCAGGGATACCTCACCCTGCAGGAGCAGCTCCTGCCTCCCTGAGAGTGGGGGCTGGGATCCACTTAAAGGAGGGCAGAACTTGAGGTGTCATGGAGGTATCCTTGTCCCCAGGGTGACACAGAGAAAGGAGAGCAGAGCCACAGTTTCTCCCAATCCTGCTGGCACCAAGCAATGAGGTCACTCCTTCCCAATGTTGCCACTGCCAGATGCTTTTATTGATGGCAGAATTGGGGTTGCCCCACACAGACAGCACAAGTCAGGACCCCTGTGGGACAGGACTCACCCTGCCAAGCTCGGGCAGCCCCAGGCCCCATCTCTCCTCTCTCCTGGCACTGGCGCCACGCTCACCCGGCCCCGGACTGGAGCCTGCTCTGTCCTGGACAGGGAGATGGATTCAGGAGCCCTCCTGGAAACGGATGGATCCATGGTGCTGGGACTGTTGGGCTGAGGGAATCCACCTCAGCTAGGACACATCACACCTGATCCCATGGGACAGCTCAGGGCTTGCTGCGCTTGGCCTGGCTCTCCACCACCGTGCCAGCTGCCCTTTTGTTCCGGTGGTGCGGGAAGGTGGGCATCAGCTCTGGCTCACAAGCTGTGGGAGACAGAGGAGGGTCAGCAGGGCCCAAAACCTCCCAAATCCTGCCCTGCCCCAGGACAGGGAGTACTTACGCAAGGGCTTCTCCTTGAAGTAGGAACTCTCCAGGCAGTCCTTGGCTGTGGCCCTACGGGGGACAAGGGCAAGTGGCAGGGACTACCCCAGCCTGGGGGACAGCATGGGGCAGGTATCCCTGGCTCCTCCTGGGCAGGTCCTGCCTGGCTCTCACCTTTTCTTGGGGTCATACATGAAGAGGAAATTGAGCAGTCGTAGCCCAGCCTCTGAGAGCCAGGGAAACCTGTGCTTCAGGTTGTTGTAGGGCTGTTTGCGCAGGGTGTACTGGGTGGCCAGCGGCAACTTGGAGAACCCCTGGGGGAAAGGAGGGAGTGTGAGGAAGGGCCGGGGGAGCAGCCAGGGAGAAAGGACAGGGAAAAAGGGCAGGGAGCTCTCACCGGCCAGATGTTCTCGTTGGGTGTCCCCAAGAGCTGCACGATGAGGTCAATCTGGTGGATCTCAGAGGTGCCTGGCAGCAGTGGTTTGTGTGCCAGCAGCTCAGCCAGGATGCAGCCAGCAGCCCTGCAGAGCACAGGAGCCTCTCTAGTGATCCCCCTGCAGTTTGCAGCCCCCCAGCCCCATCCAGGCAGCCTCAGCCCCCCCCTTACCACATGTCGATGCTGGTGGTCTGGGTCGTCATCCCCAGCAGCAGCTCCGGTGCACGGTACCTGCAGCGGGGACACTCAGTGGCGGAGCTGGCACGAGCCTGTCCCGCTGGGAGTGCCCACCCTGGCACCAGCCACTTACCACAGAGTCACCACTTTGGGGGTCATGGGCTTAGGAGGCATCCCATAGGTGCGTGCCAGGCCGAAATCAGCTGCAACAGAGAGGCAGAGTCAGGAGGGAGCCCAGCTCTGAGCTGTGGTCATGGCACAGAGCAGGCACAGCCAGGTGCAGGTGCCAGGACTCACCTATCTTCACACAGCCTTTGTCAGTCATCAGCAGGTTGGAGACCTTCAGGTCCCTATGGGAAAAAGAGCAGCTGGAGGTGAGAGACCACAAGGAAAATCCAATCCCATCATTCCATGGCCTCCCTGCCCTGCTGGTGCTCCCACACTTGATGGGCACCAAAGCTCCACCCAGAGTTGCTACTGATGGTGCTCCCAGGACATGGGAGGTGTCCCCTTTGTCGTCCCCCCGCAGCTGCACCCTGCCACTCCCACCTGTGGATGATGTAGTTCTCATGGAGGTACTGCAGGCCCTTGAGCACCTGCAGGATGATGCACTTCACCTGGGGACAGAGGACAGGAGCTGTGACCTCTGTGGGAGCAGCAACGACTGGACAAAACCCCACAGACCAAACCCACTGGGCTGTCCTGCAGTCCCTCCATCCCTGTGTCCTCCCTGGAGGTTCTGGGTAGGCATTTTCCTCCCGCTCTGTTTCTCAGACAGTTTGTTCCAGCCCCAAACCCAGCCTGGAAAGTCCTTGAAGGATTCGCTGAGAGTCAGCAAAGCCCAGGCTCCATCACAATCCCTGGAATCCCCCAGCTCAAGGTCTAGGGAGCCCTTCACAGTGTCCCCATTTTAGCAGGAATGGGAGCACCCTCTAAGGGGTGCTGGACCCAAATCCTGCCCCACCCTGTACCTGAGCCTCTGAGAAAGGCGTTTGCATGTTCTCCAGGAGACTGGCCAGATCCTGCTCGCAGTATCCCATCACCAGGAAAATGCTGTTGGAGACAAGGTCAGGTCAGAGCATCCCTCAGAACAGGTTTGTCTGCTGAGGTGGCTCAGGGCTCCATGGAAGGTTTGGAAGGCAGAGGGAGGACAGATGGGACTCTGACCTCTCCAGGTGGTTTCCCACAACCACCTCCTTCAGTTCTACAATGTTGGGGTGCTGGAGCTGCAGGAGCAGGGTGATCTCCCGCAGGCTGCTGATGGGCATTCCTGGGGGAGGGAGGAACAACCGTGTTGCAGGAATGGCCTGGAGCCAGAGCAGCCCCTGTTCCCCCCCCACTCCTCCATTACCATCTTTCTCGTTGTCCATTCGCACCTTCTTCAGTGCCACTGTCTCGTCGGTCAGTGTGTCCCGGGCACGGTCTGGGGGCAGCACAGGACACGTTGGCACCAGGACACACACCTGGGTTTGTCCCACCTCACCTCGGCTCCCCCAGCTCGGCCACAGAATGGGAACTGGGTGAGCTTCAGGTCCCTCCCGAGCCAAACCGTGCTGGGATTCTAGACGGGAGAGGGGTTTTCTACTGAAAGAGGGCAGGGTTAAATGGGATATCTGTAAGGAATCCTTCCTGTGAGAGTGGTGAGGCGCTAGCACAGGTTCCCAGAGAAGCTATGGCTGCCCCACGCCTGGAAGTGTCCAAGGCCAGGCTGGACGGAACAACGAGATCCTAGGGAAGGCGTCGCTGCCCATGGCAGGCAGTAGAACGGAATTAAGTCCGAGCTCCCCGCCCGGCACGCACCGCCCGCACTCACACACGATGCCGTACGTGCCCTCTCCGATCCGATTCAGCTTCTCAAACTCCTTCACGCTGCGGCACCGTCCCAGCTGAAACCAAAGAGCCGCGTTCAGGCGGTGCCGTCTCGAGGGTTCCTCACCGGGGAAGCCCCGTCGGCCCCAAGCCCTCTCACACTCTCGGGGCCCGCTGCCCTCACCCGATCGGCTGCCGGAACCTCGAAGAAGCCTTCGCCCCGCAGTCGCCGCAGCCGCAGGGGCTCCAGCTCTGGTTCAGCCGGTCCCGATCCCGCTTGCGTCGTTCCCGCCTCAGGCGCTGCCATGTCTACGAAAGCGAGTTCAGCTCTGCACACGCGCAATATGATCCTGCCGCAGGCTCCGCCCACTTCAGGCCCCGCCCACATGCCTTAAGCCTTTGGCAACCGTTGCTAGGGAAAGACCAATAGCGAGCCTGTCCCGGTATAGCCCCACCCCTGTACGGCCCCTCACCTCGCGGCCCCGCCCCTTAATTGAGTGCGACATCCCCAAGGCTTTTCCGCTGCCCACGTGACCCTCCACCTCCCCGGCCGCTGCGTCGCTCTCGCGAGATTCAGCGCGCGCACCCCGGAAGCGGCGGCTGCACCCGGAAGCGGCGGCGGGCAGGATGGACGGTACCGGGGGGGTTGAGCGGTACCGGGGGGGTTGGGCGGCACCGGCGCCTCCTGGTGGGGCTGGGGCGGGTCTTGAGGGGTGGGGCTAGGGGTGAGGGTCGGAGCCGGGACTGGTGGCCGGGATGTGTGGGCGGGGTCCCCGGTACCCGGTCCCGGTCGTGTCGCTGAGACTGTGCTCTCCTTCCTTTCCAGACACGCTCTTCCAGCTGAAGGTGAGAGCAGCGGAGGCCCTTCCGCCTCCTTTCCGTCTGGTATCGCCGGTCCCGGGAGGGTCCCGGGGCCGGTTCCGCCCGCTGGCTCGGCCTCATCGGAGCTTCTCCTGAACGGGACCGTGACAGGAGGAGGTCCCGGCCTGCAGGGGTGACCGGAGGTGCCATGGGCAAAGGGTCGGGCAGCCGTGGCCACTAAGAGGTGGCTGGGGTAGGACAGGTGGGCACTGGTACTGTGGCACTAAGGGGAACAGCTTCCCAGTGCCAGAGGGCAGGGTTAGATGAGATATTGGGAAGGAATTCCTTCCTGGAAGGGTGGGGAGGCCCTGACACAGGTGCCCAGAGAAGCTGTGGCTGCCCCTGGATCCCTGGAAGTGTCCAAGGCCAGGCTGGACAGGGCTTGGAGCAACCTGTGTCCCTGCCCATGGCAGGGGGTGAGATGAGATGAGATGGGCTGTGAGATCCTTTTCAGCCCAAACCATCCCATGACTCTGTCCCTGGTCTTGCCCTGCTGGATCCCGTTGCTGTCCCGCTCCTCTCTGCAGTTCACGGCAAAGCAGCTGGAGAAACTCTCCAAGAAAGCCGAGAAGGACTCCAAGGCCGAGCAAGCCAAAGTTAAAAAGGTGTGTGGGGCTCATCCTGCCGGTGCTCAGCACTGTGGGGCAGTTGGAATTCCCTCCTCCCACTGTGTGGGAGCAGGAAGGGTCCCGATCCCCTCCCTACCCTCTGCTCCTGACTCTGCCAGGGGAATGTGGCACACCCAGTGACACATGCGGTGTCTTATTCCTGCTCTGGGGCATTCCCAGCCCTTTGTGGGCTGGTCTGAATGCGTGGAGGGCTCTCTGAGAGTGGGCTCTCCCTGTGCAGGCCCTGCAGCAGAAGAACGTGGAGTGTGCCCGGGTCTATGCCGAGAATGCCATCCGCAAGAAGAACGAGGGGCTCAACTGGCTGCGGATGGCGTCCCGGGTGGATGCTGTGGCCTCCAAGGTGCAGACAGCCGTCACCATGAAAGGGGTAAGAGCCTCCAGCAGGGATTTGGGAGCTCCATCCCCACATGGAGCTTCCCCTCTCACTGCCTCCAACCACCACAGGCTCCCCCGTTCCCCAAAATGTCTGCTGGTCTCAGACCTTACAGACAGGCTCATCCTACCTGGGATGGTGTCAGGACAGTGCCTGGATTTGTCTGTAACCCTCAGAGCGTTCCTGAAGGAATCTCCTCTTGCAGGTGACGAAAAACATGGCGCAGGTGACCAAGGCTCTAGACAAGGCCCTGAGCTCCATGGACCTGCAGAAGGTGTCGGCAGTGATGGACAAATTCGAGCAGCAAGTGCAGAATTTGGATGTTCACACGTCGGTGAGTGCCAGGCATCAAGGAGATGCCGGGGGGATCCCTGCTGGGTGTGTGGGCGGGCAGGGTGACAGGGTTGTGTCTGTCCCAGGTCATGGAGGACTCCATGAGCTCGGCCACCACGCTGAGCACACCGCAGGAGCAGGTGGACAGCCTGATCGTCCAGATTGCTGAGGAGAACGGGCTGGAGATCATGGACCAGCTCAGCCAGCTGCCCGAGGGGGCCTCGGCCGTGGGGGAGAGCTCTGTCCGCTCCCAGGAGGACCAGCTGTCCCGGAGGTTGGTTCTCTCCCAATTCCTGCATAGTGCTTCCCAGGATGTGGAAGGATTGGCCCTTCCTGGGGAGGCTCAGAGGAGTCCCCTGGACTGGAGTCCCCTGGCTGCAGCTGCTCCCGAGCTGAGGCTGTTCCTGCTGTCCTGACCTGCTCTCCTCTCCTGCTCTGCCCTCCAGGCTGGCTGCCCTGCGGAACTGAGCTCCCCCTGTTCACGGCAGCGCTGGAGCGGCGGCGGCGGAGCCGGGACCCCCTCCCGCAGCCCCCCAGCACATCCCCAGCCCCCCCCTGCCTCGGGACTCTTCTCAGGGGGGTGACAGCCCTTCCCTGAGCAGGCAACGATCCCGGCGGGAATGTGGCCACTCCCATGGCTGAGGAACGCTGTGCTGGATTGTGGGGGGGTTTCGTTTGGGGATGCTGCTGGTGCTGCCCCACATCCCGCTGCTGATGGAACACTAAGGGGATTTTCCTGGTCTCGGGATGCTGCTCCCCAACTCCTCTGTTGTTCCCTGTCCCTGCCCAGAGCTGAGCTGTGGGCTGAGTTCCTCAGGAGCTGTTTGGGAGGAGCAGGAGAACCCGCAGGGTTCCCAGTCTCCGGCAGAGCTGTGGGAAGGGCCCTGTGCCCGGCTGTGGATCTGGGGAGGTCGGTGCCTTGCAGGAAGGGGTGGTGACACCGGGGTCTCCCCTCCCTCGCTGTCACTGTCCCTGTGCCCTTTGCTGCTCGTGTCCTGTTGGGCCGACACCCCCAGCCCCGTACCACGAAGTGCCCTTTGGAACAGCCCCCCCCGCCCAACCCTGTGCGTGTCAATCCTCACATTCCCCAGGCACTGCCAGCTGGAAATGGTTATCCCGGCCCTGACTGCCAGTTTGGACCAGTGAGGATCCATGTCCAGCACTGGGAGCGGATTGCAGCGGCTGTGGTGGCTGCAGACACGTCCCCAAATGTCCCCCTGCTGGGTGGGTGTGGCAGGGAATGCAAAACCATCCCGGGGGCAGCTCTGTCTCGATCCCTGTGCCTCGTCCCTGGATATCGTCTGTCCCCTCGCTGCTGGCACCGGGCTGGGGTTGGGGTCAGTTCTCTGCGTCCCCTCCCGCTGTTCATCCCTGTCCCTTGTCGCCTTTGCCCTGGGGCTGGAACTGTTTGTGCCCCTCCCGCGCGATCCCCGGCACCGCGGAGCTGCTGGATTGCTGGAAGCTCTCCAGGAAGGAAGCGCTGTTTCCTTTGGATCTCCCAGGAGGAACTTTCACCTCTGGGGGATGTCACGGGGGCCACCTCCCCGGCACAAACACTTCCCGCTGCGTTGATTGTTTTTCCTGAGTTCAGTGGCCTTGGAGCGTGTGGCTGGTGACACAGAGCCTTCCTCGCCACCGAGGAAGAGGAGGAGGCAGCGGACCCTGGAGATTTGTGCCTGGCTCCTGGCTCCCTGCACGGTGTCCCTGTGGCACTGGGGGCTCCAGACCTGCCCCCTGTCCCTCTCCCCGGGCTGTCTCTGTGTGGTTTCATGGTGTTTTTTTTTAAGTCTGTCTTATTTGCCTTCTTTTTCCCCAAACCGTGTCCATGCCTTTCTGTGGGTTTAAATAAACAATCTCTGAACACCCCAGTGTGTGTTGGGGGTGTGGATGGCGATTGGATCTGTGGTCCCCGTTGCCCTGTGACAGGACCTGGTGCCAGGGGGCTGCCCTGGACCTGAGGAGGAGGAAGAGACTGCTCTTGTTCCCAGAGCCTCTGCCCATCCAGGAGCTGGGAAGTGGCTCGGAGTACCCACTCTGGGGATTCTGGAGGGCGAGGACAACCCCCTTCCCCCACTGTCACCACTCCTGCAGGACCTGTCCCTTTCATGTGGCCGAAACAGGGGGACCAGAGTGAGCAGGAGCTCGGAGCAGCTGGAGCCCAGCTCCCTTCCCCGTTAGGGTTGGACCAGCCCAGCTCCCTGCACCGCTCCCCAGCCCTCGTGGGGACAAGCTGGGCTCCCGACGGGAGACCCCGAGCTTGTCACCGCACCTATCCTGCCATCAGCCCCTGCCCAGGGGCGGGGCTGCGGGGAGGAGGGTGCAGCCTTCCCTTCCCTGTTCCAATTTTTGCCCTGTTCCCTGGGATGCCTTCCCTGTCCCCAGTCCCTTCCCCGTGCCCGGCTGGCAGACGGGCGTTGTGCCTCAGCCAAACCCCGAATGCCACAGGAAGATGGCTCTCCTTCCCCTGCCTGTTCTCCCGCCTCCGCTCCGACAGGCTGTTCCTGAATGCGAGAGGAAATTGCTAAGGAGATAATTAAGTAGCCAATTAATTAACTAATGATTAATGGAAGCATCCTGCGGAGGCAGCGCGGCAGAGCCCTGGCCAGGTGTTGCGGGATGTGTCACTCCCGGTGCGGTTACAGCTTCCCGGTGTGAGAACCGCCGGGACCCTGCTGCTCTGCCCCGCTGGTGACATGCCGAGGTGGCCGGTGACATGCGGGGGTGGCCACTAGCATGCCGGGGTGGCCCAACATCTCCACGGTGTCGCGGGGGTCCCGCAGAGCCCCACACGGACACTCGCTGCCGGCGCTGCTCGAGCCACGGTTTTATTTTGCCGGCAGGTCCGGCAGAAAAGGGCGCAGGATCGTACCCCACCCGGCAGCCCTGGGCACGGTGCCAGGGTCACGGTGGCAGCCGGGGGCTAGAAGAGCTCGGAGAGGAGCAGGACCAGTGCCAGCACCAGTGCCAGGCCTGGCGGCAGGCGCTGGGCAGTGCCAGCACCGCTGGTGTACCCGTAGCTGGTTCTGCACGACCCCTCCAGCTCCTCGAAGGCGATGGGGATCTCAGCGGGAGCTGTGCCCTGCAGGTCTTTCTTCACCTGCCGTGGGGACAGGGTGGGCTCCTGCTGTGATGGGCAGTGCCCATCCACACAGAGCCCCTGCCACCCCACGCTTTCCTGTGCCACCCCACACATCCCATGCACGTCCCCCATGTGTCCCTGTGCATTTCTGAGTGCCACACGCCCTGATGTTCCAATTGTGTCTGCTGCCCCAATGTCCCTGTGCCACTGTGTCCCCATGGTCCAAGTGTCCCCTTGCCCTGTACATCCTTGTGCCTCACTCACCTTCTCCACTTCTCTGAAGACCCGGAGCAGGTTCTCAGCCAGGGCCCCCTTCACCTCCTGCTCTGTCCAGTTCCTCGTCAGCAGCTCAGCCACCAATGCAGGATACTTGGAGACATCCTCCAGGCCAGTGGGGAGCCTGTGCCACCCCACAGCTCACAGCTGGGCCAGTCCCAGCACCCCCAGCTGCCCACACAGGGTGCAGGGGGGGACACCCCCACCCCTCAGGAAGTCCCAATGGTGGGGACACACTGTCCCATCCCACCCTGCACCATCATCCTCTTTACCCTGTGACCCCGTCGTAGTCCCCACCGAATCCAACAGCCTGGGCACCAGCCATCTTCTTCACATAGTCCAGGTGGTCTGTGGGGAGGGGGGTTGGGGTGAGCAGGGCAGGGGGGGTCACTACCACCCCCCACCCACCTGGGCACCTCCTCACCTGCAACGTCAGACAGGTTGGCTGTGTTACTGCAGGTCACGTAGGTGTTGTAGAAGTTGACCATCACCAAGCTTCTCGTGGCGGCCTGGAGGGGAGCAGCCCTGAGCCCCCAGACCCTCCAGACCCCCCCAGTCCCTGTCCTGCCCCTGCCATGCCCCCACACTCACCACCAGCTGCAGCACGTCGTCGGGCACATTGCGGCGGTGCGGGCAGATGCCGTAGGCAGATGAGTGGCTGAAGATGACCGGGGCTTTGGAGATGTTCAGCACGGCCTTCATCGTGTCCACTGAGACATGGGCCAGGTCCACAATCATGCCCAGGCGGTTCATCTCCTCTACCACCATCTACAGGGACAGGGATGGAGCTGGGGAGCTGAGGGGTGCATGGGAGGGGTCCCCCATGGGGATGTCTGGAGCTGCTTGGGTGGCTTTTAGCTAATGGGATGGATGGATGGATGGATGGATGGATGGATGGATGGATGGATGGATGGATGGATGGAACACTGCACCCAGCATGAGGCCAGTAGGTTCCAGTACCACATTCCTACAATGCCACTGCTCCTGGACATTGCTGATGGTATTCCTCACCTTCCCAAAGGGTGAGAGGCCGTGGTGCACAGGTTTTTCATCGTCGGTGTCTACCAGCCAGTTGTCAGCCCTGCAGAGCAGGGAGAGCATCAGAGCGGCCACACCTCTGAACACATCCCCCCGTGCCAGCCCTGCCACCCCTCTGTGTCCCCGCTGGGAGTCCTACCAGGGGGTGTTGCAGCTGTGGGTGAGGGTCATGTAGCGGGCACCCAGGCGGTAGAGGCTGCGCAGGACGCCCAGGCTGCTGTCGATGGAGTGGCCACCTTCCACCCCCATGAGGCTGGCCACCTTCCCGCTCTGGAACGCCTCCTGGATGCCTGCAGAAGGGTGGGGGCATCAGCTGGGGTGGGCACAGCCTGTCAGCACCCCCGTGGTGCCTTGTCCCCGCTCACCGTTGCTGTCGGTGACGCAGGTGAAGGTCTCGGGGTACAGGTCACACATGCGCTGCACCACGTCCATCTGCTCCAGCGTGCGCCTCACTGCGTCCTTGTTCTGCGTCTCACAGGGCACGTACACCGACCAGAACTGCCACGGGCACTCCATCAGCATGGCAGCACGGGCACTGCCCTCCCTGCTGCCCACCCCAGTGTCTCCACCAGTCCTGGTGCTGTCCCAAGAGCCCCAGTGCTCATCCTGGTGCCCTCCCGAGTGTCCCTGCCCACCCCAGTGCCCCCCCCCATCACTGGTATCCTCACTGGTGCCTCTACCCACCCTGATGCCCCCTGCCCTCTCCAGAGCCCACCCCAATGCCTGCCCTGGTGCTCTCACCTGCCCGCCCACGTGCCCCTGGCGCAGTTTGGGGATGTTGGTGTGGGTATCGTTCAGCACTGACAGGTTGGCTTCTGGCAGCCTCAGCTGGTTGTTGAACTTCTTGAGGAGCTGCCAGGGCAGGTCATTGTGCCTGGGCGGGGACAGGATGGCAGTGAGGAGTGGCCTGACCCTCTGCCCACTCACCCTCAGGCTGCCTGAGGCTGGCCTCACAAACTGTCCCCTTATCTGGCTGTCATTCCATCCATCCATCCATCCATCCATCCATCCATCCATCCATCCATCCATCC